TCTCATTCAGCACTCATTGTATAACGCCGCTAACATATTTCCGCTTCCTATATACCTTTCTTCCCCTCTTAACAACCGCTACTATCACTCTTACTATTTATAGAACTCGTGAGATATAGGAAATGGAACTGGAATTAGAACTACTTACCAGAACTTTACATCCGAATGTAAATAAAGAGAGCGAAAGTTTGAGTAATGTAATATAAATGAATATGTGACTGAATAATGTAAGGTGCATATATTCATTATTTTAATTCCCCTGATGATAAAGGAGTCAAAGGTAGGGGAAATAAAAGGAAATGAGTAAATACTTTTGCTTATTTCATTCTGGAAATTACTAGGTTAAAATTTTTTGAAGGTCTTGCAGTTAGTCTGTGATTGTCGGTAAAACTCGCGGTTGTGAATTTATGCGGGTTACTTTTTTGTAAGTTTTGAAAGTGGAAAGTCTGAAATAAATTACTAATAGTTATACACGTATTGTGATTAAGATATAAATAAAATATCATAAAATAGATACATATGTACATACTCGACTGCATACAATTTTGATGTTCTGTGGCAAATATAAAAAAGGATGAGAGTAGGAACGCAGGTGTTCTCTTTACAAGCAGGGACTTAATTATTTAGAAGTGCAAACGGTAAAAGAGAAATGTGCGAAAGAAGTGCTCATGAGAAGCGAAAATAAATTAAAGCTAACGGTACATTGCTGGAATAAATAAAAAGGGTATCCTTAATGAGATTGGAAATTTGTAGTTATACGAGTAAATGTTGAAATATTGTTTTGAAATATTGGACGAAATGTGATGTTGTATTTTGCAAATTCAAGTTTTTAATAAAAGAGTGAAGAATTTGCAAAATGATAAATTCTTAACGAGCAATATTATCAGTTAAGAACCTTGAATGTGTAAAAACGAAAGTGAAAAATAGAATTAGTGCAAAAAAAAACGGAGTAAAAGTTTGCGGGATATAAATTCATATCAGAAAGAAAATAAATTTGGAATTGGAATCTTTTGAACGAAGACATTCTAATATTCTTTTATGAGAAAAATAAGTATTTATGAGAGAGCATCAACCTAATGTTAGTAGTAGTTGTGACTATGATAGTGTTGATAGACAATTGTCGCCGATTTGCATTCCAGGATTTAAGGCAGAAAAGTCTGATTATAGAAGGTAAGTTTTTAAAATAATTTTTTTTTTATTATAAAATCTAAAGTTCATAAAGCAGTATGTGTTAGAAAAATAAAATAATAGTATCAAATCAATTAAATCGCTTCTTAATAAACAAAATATAGTGAACTCCTTTTACTAAAGCACCTGCGTGTAATGTCTCTCTTCAGTCTACTTTTCATATATTTTCTAAATTATCTAAAGCTTTGAAACAATGGTTTCATATATAATTAGCTCACAAAAGTTTAAAAATTCATTAAGTTTTTTTAATAAAAGAAAATATGATTTAATTGCGTAAAATGAGTTTATAGAAAGCATAAACAAATAATTTACGGAATAAAGTAACATAAGTGAGAGTGATTCAGTAGATTTATATCAGTGAATATTAAGAGATCAAACGCATTTATGTTAGTTACACCTTTCAAGAGAGAGAAAGCTTGTAGATTTAAGAGAGAGCCTCAAGATTGGAATACGAGAAAAGAATGCTTTCTTCTTTCGAGCGCTAGAATAGTTCATTGGAAGCGGAAATAAGATAAAAGTATGCGATGCGATGTTAAAATGAGTAAAGGAGTACATGATCACAGTTTAAGCGGTACTGGAAAGATAGGTAAAAATCACCGGAAGCTGCAATAGAGTCAGTGAAGCCAGTGAAGAGGTGTACTAAGAAATTTAGGAACTAGTGAGAGAGAAATCACTCACTATGCGTAGTTTGAATAGCACTGGGAAAATCAAGTCTTCCTTTAATTTTTTATGTAGTTATTTTTTGTAATCTTCGAAAACAGTTATGAGATATTTTCGTGTTTTACGTTTTTATACGATGAACAGGGTTTGCCACGATGTTTGTAACACCTAGATGAAAACTTTGGAGACGGTATAAGGTATATATAAAAATGATAAGCGAGCCGATATGAAGTTTTGCACAAGTCCTCTTCTCCCCAAATGAGCTACTCATTTGTTGGAACCGGCAATATTAGATCACAATAGCTTATAGCTGACGACATATCTTCACCAAATTTTATTGGATTATTGCCGCAGCCAACTTCGAATAAATTTTTCGAATCGGATCACTATAGCAATTCGATGCCATAGAAACTGATCGATCAAAATAAAAATTAAGATCTTCATAGAATATCCTTTTTTTCTTATTAACCTTAACCTTAATTCGACTTGAAAATTAATTATATCAAACAATGTGGCTAGAAGAACTATCAAACAAATTTAGTTAATTGCAGTTTAGTTCCTTTTTATGACATATAAGACATAACTAGAAAGTGTGATATGGTTAGTAAAAGTTTTTTTGAGGGATTTTTGGGTATTTTTCTTCGATTAGTTTGAACTAAATTGTGATAAGATACCTATTTTGTAGTACTTTCTAAACTTCGAATGGGTTAAGCCGTTAATGCCAATAGTTAAAGCCGAGTAAGAAAACCAAATTATGCACCAAGTTGTTATGAAAATCATTTGAGTTTAAATATATGATTTTATATGGTTTTTGTAGTGACTGCCATTAATTTCATAAGTGTATGTAGGGATAACGAAAGCCTCTGTGGTCATTTTAAAATTTTCGAACTTCAAATTAAAAAAATTGTTTTACCGAATATTTTTTGAGATGTCGTTACCACTTGCTGCAAATAAATATGTTTCTACTTTTATTTACAATAATATAGTAAAATGCTACCAACAATCTTAAGATTTTGAAATTGTAGTAAAGTGTAGCAACTCTAGTGTTAAGAGTTTCACATGAAGTTATTTTCAAATAGTTGCGATTTTCTGCACGAATATTATATTTTTCAGGTTTTTCATATGTATGTTAGTGAAATTGTTAGTGTAATAAAATTCAAACATAAATATGTTTGCCTATAAGCTTCTGTACATGAAGGCAAGTGTTATTCCTGCAAATCCTTGTGCCGCACTTACTACTATTCAGACATAAAAATGTTCGTTCGGGGTTTTAAGTATTTCATAAAAGTTTAAGTGCATGTTGACAAATACTTCTAGTCTTGCAAAAAGTGGTTCACATGTTTATTCAGAGACACATAAATGCAGTTGTAGTAAGAGTGTTTATTTGGAGAGAGATTTTCCGCTAGGTAAATCATAATAGTATATTTCAAAAGATTTCAATGGGATGATGAGGCTCAGAGGAAAATACGCGGTAAATGTTAAATGTGTTATAGTTCAAGCGACTATTTTAACCAAGACATTTTTATTAGTTTTGACTGTAAACATTAGTTATTTGATTTAGTATACCAATTTGTGAATTGTAACGTTCAAAACTAATGGGCCATGCCGAGTGCTATTAAGTTTATAAATTATTATCATATTTCGTTAGTTAAAAGCTTCAAAAGACCTTACATAACCAAAATACTAACTTTTATGTGTTGAAATTTATTCAACTAGATCTAGAGTGGGAAAGGTAACTAAATTTTAGTCTTAAGTATAGACTCGCAAGTGGCTTAGCATCTTCAGATTTATATCCTTAATCAGTAATCAAAACTGATATTAAACTTTATCGAACAAAAAGCATTTTTTTTCAAATCGGTAGTCTCATTTAAATATAATAGTACGACAGCTTATCATGGCTTTGGAATCATAATTGGTTTGTGTTTTGAGGTTAAATTGCATTCGTTTGCAGTGCTTGCTCACTCAGAACAAGCGTTGATACTTCCTTTGATAAAAAAAAAATGTGAAATTACATTTAAGTATATGATAGTCATATATTTATATACCGCATTCATCACATGATCAGCAAAGATATGATTCCCTATGAATGAGATAGTGATCCATGATAAAACAGGTTATGATTAGATGACAAATTAGTTAGCGATCGCATGATCAAATAGATTGTTGTAATATACTTGAATATTTGGTGATCTAATTATAAAACGGATAAGACCAGTGAGGCAGTAGTCACACGATCAATTTGATGACATGATCATTTAGTTGGTAATCATATGATTAATCATGTGGTGATAACATGATGGGTTAGTTAGAGATCACATGATAAGTAAGCGATTACATAAGAAAACTGCTTATGATTGTATTATAAGTTGGTAGTGATCATGTGATAAATTTGGTTATGATGACAATATTTAGAGATCGCATAATAAACTATGTTGTGACTAAAAAATCAATCAGTTAGTGAATTTATGATCATATAAGTACAGGTTACATGATCAGTGATCAGTCAGCTGACGAGTAATTAGTAATTTAAAAATACAGTAAGTTTGATTCCAAGATGAATGCAATAACTCTGTACGTATGTACTACTGCTATATGTTTTGTTACAAGTTCAGGCTGTTATAAAAATTATACTACATAACATTTTTTAATAATGTTAATATTTAGTGAGCGGTTCTGTTCGAAATGATCACATTTTGCTTTCACACAAGTCCTCAAACGATTCGGACATTGAACATTAGCAGCGCAAACAGTTTTGACAACGGATTCAAATTTCGACATGCAGATGGCCAAACATCTGCATCTATGAAATCGGGGATATTGCTTTTAAGCCCTTCCTGATTGGTATTTGCCTTGTGTGCTAGAGCGGATCTTGCTGGAAGTTCCAATACTCTCCATCGAAGAGAACCATAATTTCTAAAACATCGCGTTTGTACACTTTTGGCCCCTTTTTCACAGAAGTGAAGAGGTGTAACAACTTTACAGGAGACCCTCCACCAAACCATTGCAGTAACTTGGGTCTTTTGAAGTTTTAGCGTAGATTTTGTAGTTTTGAAACTTCTTTAACGGTACAAATTTTTCTATTTGTACTCGTTTTATGCATTGTAAGCTTTGTAACAGAATTTATGGCACGACTAAGTATACGTAAACACATATTTTTCAGTTATTCTTTGTACCATAAAATTTATTTTAAAAATATTTTGTTTTTGTAAATATATACTTACAATTACATAAATTATATAATTAAGCAAATATTTACGAGGTAGTATGTTGTACAGTTTTCTTTAAAATCTAAGTACTCTTAAAAATGGCATTTTAATTCTCCATTTAATTGCATGCAAATGCTTGCTTGTCTTAGCTTAAGTAAATATTATATAATATCTATATACGTTTATATTTAAAAAAAAAACTAAGTCGATAGTAATTTATAGTATATGATACCTGAAGGATACTTAAAATAAATAATAATTTTATAGTTTTTTGCATAAAAAATGTCTTTTGAACTAAGCATTAATGTTCACTTAATTTATGTTGTATAAGAAAAAATGTAGTAGTTCTTCAAGTTTGTACTAAGCATTCTTCAGCCAAGGAGCCATTCAATTGGTCCAAGCAAATACTTCAAAATGGCGGCGAATGGTGGTAAATTAAAGCGCATTGCAACGACGAGCAACTATATCGGAGAAATGTTGAGGTAACTCTTTGTCCTTCTATTGCATTCCCACGGCCACTGCCCATCTGTCACTCTCACGTCGCTGCATCGTCGCACTGGCTGTTGTCGTCATTAGATATTGTCGCCGACTCAGCGTTTGCAGTTGATTCCTTTGCAAATGACAGTGAGGCGGGGGAAGAAATTTAATTAATATACGTTTTTGTTGTTGTTTTAAATGCATTTTCATGCGCGCTGCCTCTGCACTGTACTCACCTGCCGCATCGGACAATCGGCAAAGAAATGCGCTTCGGATTTGCATATATGACAGCGCTTGGGTTGCGGTTCCTGCGGGCACATCGAGGCAATGTGATTAGCAAATTTACCGCAATTATAGCAGCGTACGCGTCGTCGCTTCTTCGTGCGCGGTCGGAAGGTACTGCCCGTGCAGTCGAGTCCTTTGCTGCCGCTCACACGTGTAGCCTCCAGTCCGCGCTCGGTTAGTTGGCACTCGAATTCAACTTCCTCTTGTTCGCCCAGCGACCGAAAGCCGGACATTTGTATGACACTCTGTGACAGTTGACGAAGAGTAGTAATGTAAATGGTAATGAAAAGCAACAGCATTAATAGAGAAATGTGTAGAAGCGTTAGGTATTGAGAATATTTACCTGATGCACAAACACTTCCTGTCCGCCATCATGTGGTGTTACGAAGCCCCAACCTTTGGCCACATTAAACCACTTGCACTTGCCATAACGCACACAACCCGTTTCTATCAGATTGGAATCTGAAAGATAAAAGGAAAAGTTTGCTATAAAATATATTCAGGAAAATATTGAGTATTTAATTACAAGGATGGGGAACGTAGTCTATTGGGTGACTTTGCAATTATTTGGAATTCTAATGATTTATTGACAACTTAGAGCTATTAAATTCAGAGATGATTTCTAAGGACCATATTCACTTTATGTATGTAAGCACTTTCAAGTAGCTGCAAAGCAGAGTAGATACTGAAACAACGGTATAAGATTTCAAATATCCAATGGAGTTCATACATTCACTAGAAAAGACAAAATCATTTTCGGAGTGCAGAATCTTGCTTTCTAATCGACCATAATTGTTGTCTCTGATATTTATAGAAATTAGTCGGTCTTCTTATTTGTATTTATACCGGCATTGGGTACCATTTCTTTATTTAACATAATTACAATAATCCGATTTAGGTCAAATAAAATTGAATATAATTCCATAATGACACTTGCTACTAGGCCAAAAACGCTGGAACATAGACAGCAACAGTTAATAATCACTTCATGCCAAGTCTGGAATATACCTATGTGGAGTCATGAAAACCTCCCACTAAGCGCCTTACTTGCGTTTTTATCTTTAAGCTTAGAAAAAATGTGAAATATGGCAGAACTTACTCTTTGCTAGTGTCCGTTTTTGACCCGTTCTCAAACCGTACAGAGTGAGACAAGCACAAAACTGTATGAAAAGATTTTTTTGTGCAAAATCTTAGCTTTCTTCGACCATAAAATGTGGCCTGATATCACTTATACAACGCGAGGTACATATGACTAAAGCCATCTATTGAAAAAATAATGGATTTCTTTTTACTAAACTTGATAGTAGTCGTCCTCGGTTCATTATTGCTCTACTGACAATGTCTGACCGCTGCTCTCTTGAAAAAAAAATCTAAATATAAGAGTAATAACAAAATTATATAGTAGAATTTTATCTAAGAGAGAGCTTAGAAATTCCTCAATAATAAGTCAATCATAGAATCTTTTCCTATCTAACTCTATGTAATTATACCAGTTCTTTGAATTTATACCACTTGCTTTTTTATTTCATTACTCTTGAAGTTCATGTTTTAATATCTCACAACTAATAACATGATTTCCTATTTGTTACGAATAATAAATGCATATATAAGTATATAGATGGTATAACTATATGAATATACCCAAAACGCATGAGCAAAACAAAACTGTTGGCTAATTAAAACTACAATAGAAGAAATTTGTAATTATATTCCTCAAATACGGAGCAATACAGGTAGCTGAGTACCCCATTATGTAAAAGTATATGTCTGACAACAATAACAACAGCAATGCGAATTCGAAAATGCAAAAGGCGCTGCTTGTTTGTGTGCGTCGACGAGTATTATCCTTGCACATTTTTCACCTTTGTATTCCACTGTCGGCTACCTGACATCTCCGCATTGATATAACTGACATTACTCGTTGAATAGAACACGTTTAGCAAGGAGAAAGAATCCTTGCTGCTACTGCTTCGTCTTGCAACATTCCATATTCACATAAACAGGAGAGAATGTTTGGTATTTCAGTTGCTTTCGTCTTAGTTAAGGAAATGTTTTGGATTCGTAAGCTTTGATTTTACATATCAAGCGAGTTTTCAGCTGCCAACCGGTTTGAAGGAAACAATTGCTTTCGAAAGGGTGGAAATAGGGCAAATAGATAGCTATGGCAATAGAAATGCTCTACTTAAATGAAATAAAACTGTTTCTTGCATATTTCTTACGACTTTAAAAGTGGATTTATTAATTTCGCTTTGCCCATTTGTTATTGCTATGCAGGCTAGTTTTTCAAGATTATGATTGAAAGATATGAAATATCATGATCTAAATCAAAATACGTAACAAACATATGGCAACAGTGTGATGGTTAGTAACCGTTTAAAAGATATTAATGGTTGAAGTTTGATTATTTTAAGGCAAATTTTGTTTTTTCTTATGAATTTTATAACTCAATCGGTATACTTATAGTTTTGTAGGCGATTTACTGCTCTCCGAAAATGGTTTCTTATAATCAGGGTTGTGAATTTTTATTAAAAAATGTTGAATTAAAAATTAAATTTTTATTTTTTAATTCCGATGTTGGAAAATTTAAAGCAAATCTTTAATTCGGTATGTGGGATTAAGTTTTTATTTTTATTTTTTTGGCACGTATTTGGGATTGCAAAATAAAAAAAATTTAATTCAATTATTTTTCTAATGCATTATTTGCAATCCTGCTTATAAATAATGTTTGACGATGAATATCTCATAAACGCTTAAACTAGTCGCAAATTTTTGTCGATTCGGTTTGCGGGCGCAGTTTATAACCATAAACCAATCCGAGTCAATTTTGATCAGATGGCACACCAAATAAACTTAATGATGGATCAAAACATGATGATGAATCGAACAAATATTTTTTATTTTTTTGAGTGTATAAATTTCGAAATCACAAGGGTATATTTAATGTGCCTTCATTAACTTTTTCGTAATATAATATTTTACTTTTTGTGACAAAAACAAGAGTCCGTACAATACCTCATATCAGCACAATCAATCTGTTATCTCGAAGCGCTTTATATATTTGTTTGAGTACATACATACTGTACATATGTATGTGTGTATATACAAATGTAGCGCGCACAATAAATACTAATTTTTATGAATGAAAACTTTGGACAAACCGCATACATTATTCGGACATATTTTTGTTTGCTTTATACGGTAAATATCATATTTCAAAGTTGAAGTATAAAAATATCTCTACATACATACACACATACAGTCAGAAATATTTCAAATGACATTCATTGAAGGAAAACGTATAAAAATATTTGTGTGAATTTCTTGTATAAATATATGTTTGTATGTATGCGTGTTTATATGTGTGTTAGTACGAGTCTGTATGACAATGTGTTTTTATATTGGAACCCCTATCTTATCTACTAACCCACATAAAGGGCGGGTGAACGACTCCACAATTTGGGCGCCTTATTTCTTGCTGACTTAAAAATACTCACAAACAATAAGTACTCATACTTTAAAAGGTTCATTCAAGATATGGGAATTTTATTTTTGTACTTGCTTTTCTCGCTTTTGTTGTAATACAACAATTCAATTGTAAAGTGAAGTATTCACACGCTCTTTGCGTTCGGTTTTCGTGAATACTTATTGGATTCTGTATTCTTCGTTAGTTTTATAACCTCAACAGGATATATTAAGTCTTTCGGTTTTTGGCATATCGATCGTTCTGATTGTTCAAAAATTGGTCCTTGTTTGGAAACCAAGTTTAGTTGTCGAGATATTCACAAAATTGGGCACAGAGTATTTATTGTCTAATTCAATGGTACAATATCTGAAAAAATTGCTCAGATTGGATCACTACAGCATATAACTGCCATAGAAATTAACAGATCAAAATCAAGATACAAATATTTTTGTGTTCTTCAATGCTTTAAGAAATGCGCCTGTGAGGGTATTATAGCTCCGGTATAGCCGAAGGTAACGCTTTTCATGGTTTCGCCTTTCTTGTTTGGTTATTCATATCACTGCTATGGAAATTAACCACTCCTCCGCGCTGCGTCAATTTCATAATTGTCAGCAGTCATTTAATATACTCGCAGTCACGCACTTCTTTCTTGAAGTATATATGAATGTATGTATATATATATGTATGTATATTTACTTATATCCCATGTCCTTTAAGTATAAATATTTAAAGGATAATAAAGTTCTCAGCGCGTGTTGCAATTATTCTATTTGTTTCTCTATTTTCTTTTACTCTTTATCCGTCATGGCAACGCTTACTGTTTTGATTGTTCAGCGATTAATTAAGAAATAAGCAGGTCATAGCTGTATTTATATTGAATTATGCAGTGAAGATATCACTTTACACAGCTTTAAGAAGGCTATTGCTTTATCCTAGCCAAAAATTTAAATATTTCCCACATACATACAAACATACACATATATAAATTAGTTTAGTATTTCAGCTAACTCATTTTCCTTTCCCATTCAATTTGAAATCTTACAAGAAACCTGAATTGGCTTCCAACTTCATATTCTGCTATATCCTTACAAATATCTTAGGAAGCATGAAACCGGTTGGCTGCTCGCAGTGCATCTGCTGTAAATCCTTGTGCCATGTAAATTTACATAAATATAAGTTTTAATTGTGTTTTTTTTTTCTTGTCTTGTTGCTGGTGGTAACAATGACGTTACGCTTATCTATGCAGGTATTCCTCATTTGCATGAATTCTACTGGAATTATGCATGCAACCGCTTTAATTATAGATGCGTAAATTATTTTTATACAACTCTTGAGTTGAGTTGCTGTTAAAATTGAGAGACTACTTTAAGGCTACTTTAGCAGGGAAATAGTTTATGTATACACTACTTGTATTAGGAATTTTTCTAACTGGTTCGGCACCTGAAAATGAATTAATTCTAAGATTCAGAACTAATTCATTTCCAGGTTAACTTTCATGTAAGTGTAGATAGCAAATATGTATAGTTTTCGTTAGCAAATCGCGTTGAGCATATAAATAGCCGAGAAAAATATTGATGTCAAGAATCTGAAGAAAATTCGTTAGTAGACGAAAACATACGATAATGAATTTATTAATCAGGCATGGTTTGTACAGTTCAATATGAATTTGTGCTGAAATTGGATAACGAAAATATGTAATATGATTTCTTTGCTCCTTTACACTAAATATAATAATTTTCGAAACTCGGTTTTTTGATTGGAATGCAGTGAATATCTTTTCCGAAGTCTATCAATCCACATCGGTCTACAATTTTCTTTAATTCACATATAGTTAATATAATGTTTTTCTTACTTCTGGTTGACATTAATACGTCGGTTACTGAGAAAAGTTTTCAATAAAATTCAACTTGAATATAACACTTATCAAAATTATGGTTTGCCATCCACCCTCAACCTTGACTTTATAGTGTACACATTGATTACATAGACGAAAGTGTGTGATATCGGTTCATACTAAGAGTAGTAAAAGTGCGAGAGTAACACACAGCAAGAAACGTCGAAGACTCGATAAAAAAATATATATAAATGATCACCGTGTCGAGCTGAGCCGATTTAATCATGTTCTGCTCTCTGTTTGTCTGTATATACGCGTTATAGTCCATCAGTTTTTGAGATATAGTTCTGAAATTTGGCACAGCAGCTTTTCACACCAAAAAAGTGCTCATTTATCAGAACCACCGATATTGGAGCACTATATGATATAGCTGTCATACAAACTGAACGATCAATATCAAGTCCTTATATGGAAAGCTTTTTTATTTGATAAGATATATGCGCAAAATTTTGCTTAAATTATTTTACAAAGTAACGCTACAATCTCCGCACAAATTACTTAGATCTGGTTACTATAGCATATAGCTGCCATTTTATACTCTTGCAACTTGCATGAATCAAAGCTGCCGAAATACTTTAAGGTGATGGCAAAACTTACACATTGAGTTCCAAGGAAACGAAATATGAATTTTTATATCCGATAAAAAGAAAAAAAATAGAAAACCGTTAGGCGGATAACGTTCCCGTTACAATGAAGAGCTCATACTTGGAGAGCCTTTCTTAGAGATGTCTATTAACCAATTTTTCATATTACCAAGCACAAAAAAAACCCATTCGCATTTTTTTCACCCACCCTAATGTATGTGGAGTAAAGTCAGCCGGATGTTCGAAAATCATGATATTAGTTATATGGGGGCTAAGGTAAAATTTACCAAATATAGTAAATTTTAGGCATAAATATACATTGTCACTAGTAAAAACCGCTTTCATTTTCATAGAGATAACTCACATAATGGCCGATATATGCGGTATAAAGTAAGCCGGAAGTTCAAATATCTTTATATTAGGTATATGGCGGCTAAGAGAATCGATCATTTGATTCAAGCTATGTCGTGACAACCAGCCAATACAATCAAACTTAATCTACCTTGGTAGCTGTGTTGTTTAATATAAGACAACTTCATGTCAAATTAAGGTTATTTAATATGTATAAATTATATATTTGCTATAAAGGTGCAATTTAACATGGAAAGAAATGTATACCAAATTTCGTGAAGATATCTTGCCATATAAAAAACTTTTTCATATTAAATAACGCAGCATACAAGTATAACTGGTATACAAAATGAACGATCAAAATCATTTTGTATAGCAGCTACATGCTATAGTGGACCGATATCGGCGATTCCGACAAATAAGCAGCTATTTTGGGAAAAAGAGCGTGTGTAAAATTTCTGGCAGATGGACATGGCTAATGTGTAACAACTTTTGTGGCAAACTTAATACTTATGCTCTGTTCGGAGTATAAGAAGTTGGTATATCTTCACGTACAATACCATTCTGACTCTATAGTAGAAAAATATGATCACAAATAGGGCTGCTGATCACATCACTAGACTCATAGGTACATCATATGCATTTATATAAGCACATATGGCCATTATGTATATAATGGGGGTGGTGCCATATATTGCATATGGTGCTAATTGCAGCTTCAACCCTCACCCCCTAAAATGCAGTTGAAGCGGAAAACCACCCTACGTGCTTACACACAAACATTCAAATGCATAAATATTGGTTTGTGTAAAGTCAAATGATCAAACTCATATCGCCGAGGGTTGAAGCTCGCAAATTTTTATAATAATATCGTGAGTGTTTTAACTTCATTTTTTACATATATACATACATACACATTGGTACACACACGCTCACATCCATTATGTGCCAATAAAAAACGAATTGATATTATTGCGAAAATCGAATTTGCTTACGGCTGATTGGCCAAACGAAATCACAGTTAATGGGTAAGCCAATAAAAACAAAGCGCGCTGAGATACTATTAACTGTTTTGTTTTAGTTTTTGTTTCTTATTTTTCTTTGGTTTTTGCGTCGCTTTTTTATCGCTTATAAGGAAAAGTAAGTGTGATGAGTAAAGACGAAAAGTGTTTATTGTATTGAATATAAAAATGTTATTCACCTTTGTTTTTGTTGTCATCAGGCGGTGACGTATCGCTTTGCTCAGCATGTTGTAGCTGCTGTTGTTGTTGTTGTGCCATTTTTCCTTGTGGCTTTCTTCTTCTGGCACGATTATTATTATTTGGTTCTGTTGATGCAGCTGCACTGGTGCTGCCTAGTATATTGGTGGTGCTTGTGTTGGTGTTAATGTTGTCGGTATTGCTGCTGGTATTGGTATTTTTGTTGATCGTAGTTTGGCTATTAGCGCTGGTTGTTTGTTGCATACTGAGGTACTTAGTAAGTTTTATGTGTTTGTTTTTGGTTTTGTGTTGAATTCATATGGAATTCTCATATTTAACGGAATATATGACTAGATTTTCATCACATAGTTATCTTTTTCTTTTTTGAAAATATTTTTTTTTTAGTTTTTTAATATTAGAACATTAAATTTTATTTATTTATTTGATTTTTATTTGTTTGATGTATTAATAGTTGTTTCAAATATTTTTAACCAAGTTGAGCTCTTGAAAATTTTAAGCACCAGAAAAAAATAATAAAATATTTATTTGTTGGCATTAAAAAATATGGAACTTGCTTAAAAAATTTAAAGTTTATTATATAATTTTTTTAATAACTTGCAAAAGATTTTTTTTTGTAATTTTTGTTTTTTAAATTTATTAAATTAAATGCATTTTATTTTTGATATTTATTTTTATAAATATTTATTTTAAAATTTTTTCAACTCAGCTGAATGAATGAATTTTATTTGCGAAAAAGTTTAAAATATTTATTTTTTGATTTTTAAAAATGTTGGAATTCGCTTGAAATTTATTTATAGCATAGATATTTTTATATATAGTTTATTCTTCAAAATACAGATTTAGGAAAGTTTTTATTAGTTATTCGAATAATTTCAGGTTAAATGTTATTTTTAAAAATTTTTTTTACTCGAAATAAGCAAAAATTTTAAAATATATTTTTACATACTTATTTATTTGCATATGTATATGTATGTATATTTATAACTGTTTTTCTAATTCTTTTTTATAGCTCTTAAAAGAATTTCAGGTATCTGTTATTTTAATTAATTTTAAACTTTAGAAAACTAATTTTATTTTTTATATAGTTCTGCATTCTCATCAAGCGTTACTCTAACTTATTTTACCTATTCCAAATCATTATTTATTTATATTTAAAAGCAGTTTAAAAAAAACTTTGGATGGAATATAATTTTATTATAAGAATAGTTTTATTAATATTTTTACTGAACTAAAATTACAAAAGAAAAAATATGTTAATATCCGTTTTTAGTTGTATATATAAAATCTTTATATTTTATATTTAAAAAAATGTAAACGGTCCAATAATTACTTATATACATTTTACAACTATTTATATATTTATTATTTTTCAATATTTCTATTTTCGAATTTTTTTAATTATTTTTCTGACTGTAAAAAATTAAAAAATTTCCCAAAAAATCTGTTATATTTTATATTTTTATATCAATAGTTTTTTTTACATATTTTTTACTCAATTAAGTTTTCAGAAGTGACAAATTTTTAAACATAATTTTTTAACCATAAAAGTAAACTGTAATTCTCTTTAAACATGTTACTTTATTGGTTTTATGTATTTTAATATATATTTTATTTTTCACAATTCTCTTTTCAATAATTCTTTTTTAATATTTCGACGGTTTTTTAATATTCAAAAAATTATTTAAATTTCCTAAAATATTTTTTCATACTTTTTTTTTAATTTTTTCGGCAGTTTTTTAAATGCTCAAAAATTGTTTTTATAAATTTTAAAATATTTTTTAAACTTTTTTATTTTTAATTATTCTTAAAAAATAATTAATTATAAGTTAAATTTTCAAACTCAAATTGTATTTTATTTTTCGATATTACTTTGTTTTTTATCGCATCGTTCATAGCTTTTACTCTAGTCAACAATCAATGATCGTCTGCACGCCACTTCGCCACTGCGCTAACTCTACGTATTAAATAGTTTTTTTTTGTTTTTATTGTTTCTATTTCTTTCTTTTTATCAATGACTAACAAATCCGGTTTCCGCCTAGTTTCAACGACACACCGACACGACTGACAAACACTTCAAAACTGACGCATGGTCGTGTTGTACGATTTCCAGGAAGCCCGAAAATTCGTATTCAAACATCTCGCCGTTTTCATGCGCTCTACGCAAGTGGTAGAACAAGAACGACAGCAGCAACAACAACAACAACAACAATACTTTCAAATAACTCCAAATTAAATAACTAAGCCAAGCGAAAACGTCACTACAATAACAAAAAAAAAAGCCGAAAAAATTTGAAAGAAAGAGCGTAGCAATAACAATAACAACAACAAAACCGAAACGCAATAATGACGAACTATGATGACGCTTACTCCACGACTGACGATTGACTAGCAAATGCCAAACTAGAAAATCCCAATAAAATGCCTTGTAGAAATGTGTGTTAGTAGTGGTAGTGTTGGTGCTTGCTGCCCTCAAATGCGCCGTTTGACGTTGCTGTCACACACATACAAACAATGTCGTTGAGTAGCCGAAATTCGAAAACAACAACAACAACAACCATGCCTATCAAATAGAATTCCAAATCAACATTCAGCTATGTGGTCCCAAGTACTCGTAGTCCTATGCTGCTAATAGCATAAATTCTTGTATGTTTGTGTGCGTGCAATATGCATGTGGCAATGACGTACGTATGAAGGTGAGCGCGGTGATATTGCTGCCGCTGCTGGCGTCAACAGCGCAAAACCACACATACACCAATTCACATTACACTCAGATAAAGCCATATAAATACATGGATGTATGTATGTGTGCATGTAGGTGTGTTTGTGAAACTACGCAGCTCTGCTATGGGTTTACAAAATATTCATGCATACATCCGCACAAACATTTTAGTCTTCTATCCGCTAGATACTCGCCTAGCACTCAATATTGCCTACACACATAAACACACACTCAAACACAGCTACAGCGAGCGATCGCTCATACGCATTTGGCTCGCTTGTCTCGAATTCGCTGTGCGTGCATTTATCTACGTCGCAGCCAACGAAGCGCGGCGAAATGAACATGCTGGTTCGTATGTATGTATATGTGTGTTATTTTGTAATAGATTTTCGAACGAGCCGCAGTGGTTGTTGCGAACGTGCCTGGCATGCATGCATCGCTAAGACAACCCCTATATGACGCTAGCTATGATTTATCTAAGCTAGACGATAATTTGTCTATTCACTCGCGGTAGTTTGCTGATGTAGCTATTTAGTTGGCTGCCAGAGAGGGTAGTAGAAAGAGAGTGAGAGGAAGGAAGAGAAGAAGAAGGCTTGGTATGTGCCATCAGCCACAAAATTATGCTGACTAAGCATCAAGACAAGGTGTAATTTTCTATTTTCACGGTGTCTGCCTTTGGGGTTTCTAATTGTGATGAAATGGAAAGTTACACCTTTCCGGAGTTCGATTGAAAGGTGGACATTTGTAATAGTTGAAGAGCTAAAATAATAGTACTTTACGTCACTGAGATGATATGTGTTTCCAGCATGAATAGATGGATAGAGGTTTGAGAGGCTTGTTTTTTTTTTTTGTATTGTAGTCTTGATGGCTCCTTTTGACACGTCTTTATATACCCTGAATAGTGTATATTAAGTTTGTCACGAAATTTGGAATACCCAGAAGTCAACGTCGGAAACCCTACAAAATATATAAAAGGTATTCTCTTTGGACGTGCTGTTTTCAATAAGGTAATCTTTTGTTCGAAGTCGGTCTTTTTGGCAATAGTTAATTGATTTGTTCTCAGTTTGGCTTGCCACTTCATAATAAACAGACTTACTCTGGAACAACGTTTGAAAATTGTGCAAATTTACTACAAAAAATATGGTTCGGTTCCCACGACGTATCGCATGCTGTGTTCAATATTCGATCGACATAACCGCCCAGCAGAGTTGGTAATTTGAGCCACCATGAATCGTCGATAATGCGCATTCTCAGAGACGGCATACAGTGCGCACTGAAGACATTATTGCTGCTGTGGAGCAGAGTATGGAAGAAGATCCGAATGATTTCATCCGTCCATCCACTTAATGGAAGATTTTGTGGAAAGATCTTGGTTTGCGGGCCTACAAAATCTAACTCGTGCAAGGATTGAAGCTGAACGGTCATCAAGCGCGTCGCACGTTTCATGAATTGGCCCCAAACGAGATGGTCGACGAAGCTCACTTTTGGTTAAATACGTACGTTATTAAATAAAATTGTCGCATTTGGAGTGTTGATAATTCACAAGCCATTGTTGAGACACCGTTACACCCCAAAAAGGGCACTGTTTGGTGTCATTGGTCCATTTTTTTTTAAATTAAACCTGTCATTATGTTACAGTAAATGGGGTATGCTATAGAGCCATGATTAATGACTCTTTAATGCATGTATTGTAGGATGTTGATGTGTACGATTTTTGGTTCCAACGTCGGCGGGCGGCGCTACATGCCATTCAGCCAACCAAACAATCAATTTATTGAAGGAAACTTTTGCATTTGAGCGCATTATCTCGTGTCATGGGCCTGTGGCGTGGCCTTTAAGATCGTGCTATTTAACACCGCTAGACCGCTTGTCGGGTTATGTGAAGTTGTCTGCCTACGCAGATAAGCCCAAGACGATTGACGTCTTGGAAGCGAATATTCGCCGCGTTATTGCTGACATACGGCCCCAATTGTTTCAAAAAGTAGTCGCAACTTGGGCCTCTCGGTTGGAATTTATTCGACCCCGCCGCTGCGATCACTTGCCCGAAATAATTTTTAAAACATAATAGCAAACCTTTATCATTATAATAAAGCTAAATTATTGACCATAACATTCAATTACAAGCATTTTGTTTCTTCTTGAAAATCAGTTGTCTAAAAATAAAACATATTTACATTGAGCTGGTACGGTAACATTGACTTCGTATTAAAATAGAACAACAACAATAGTTTTTTAGTTTACTCCGCTGAAAACGTTAGATTGCTTCTATCACCAAAATAACGCAATATCATGAACAGTTTTGAATTGGTCTCATATTGAATAGGGAAAGTAACTGACTGTTTAGCTTTAGTTGACCGTATTTGTCCCGGCAAAATCCGGCACGTTCTTTTTTAGTTTTCGATTTTTTCCTAATTATAATTCACTGAAAATCGCGACATATAATAGATGAGAGAGCAACACAATTTTATTCAATTCATTATTATTTTTTTGTTACTAAGCCCGAGACGAATGGTCAGCAAAGTCTAGCTGGATCTGGAAAAGAGCTATAAGGCTCATCAGAAATGTTTTTGCCCACTAACAGGGATGAAATTTTATGGATCCACTATGAGATTTGATAAGTCCCCGACATTTTATTTTCTCGCCGATTTGAAAATTTTGTTTCTGCTCTTTGTATTAAAATATTTTTGGATCAGAACCATTTGATATGTTTGTCTGCAAACTATTCTCTAATGCTTATAAGAACCACAAGCTGGATACTTAACT